CAAAAAATACAAATATATGTATGTATATATAAATACAAACACAAGAAATTCCAAAGAATATGCACACACAAAAGCGCTTAATAGAGTTAATAAAATAATTTAACAAGATTGCAGTATACAGGATCAACACACAAACAATTGCACATACCAGCATATACACTTCTAAAACTAATGCCATTTACAATATCATCCCTTAAAATATCCAAGAGTAAATTTATCAAAAGCAAGACTTGTACGCTGGAAACTATAAAATAGGATTAAAAAATTAAAGAAGACATAAATAAGTGGAGATATCAAGCATTCATGGACTAAAATGACAATACTAAAAAATAATCTAGAGATTAAATGCAATCACTATGAAAAGAGATAGGATGGCTTGAATTCTCTCTTTTCCATCACACTACGATGTGGAGATATTCAAGTCCTCATTCATTTGCTAGGGGAATGTAAAATGGTACATATAAGTGGAAAATAGTTTGTCCTCGGAAATTTAAATAGAGAATTACCAGGAATCCAAAGAACTTAAAATGGGTACTTAATAGATGTATATGAAGCTTTACAGCAGAACTATTCACAACAGCCAAAAGGTATAAATAACCTAATGTCTACCAGATGATGAATGAATAGATATAATATATACCCATACAGTGATACATACTATAATACAGATTAATCTCAAAAACATTATGTTAAATGAAAAAAAGAGACAAAAAGTCATGTTATATGATTCCATTTATATGCTATATCCAGAATATGTAAATCCACTGAAACATAAAGCAGATTGGTAAACTGAAGAAAGGGGGTAAGAAGAAGTAACTCTTTGTGGGTTTAAACTTTTCTTTGGGGTGATAAAAATGTTCTGGGACCAAAAGAGGTGGTGGTCAAACAACATTGTGAGTGTATTACATGCCATTGAGCTATACACATTAAAATAGTTCATCTTTTACACATATAATTTCACCTTAATAAAAAGTAACGTGGCCTGGAGTTGTAGGTCATTGGTAGAGGCACTGGGTTTGATTCTCAGCACTGCATATAAACAAAGGTCTACTGACAACTAAAAAAAATTATATATAAAAAAAGTAATGTAACAAAATCATCATCAAGTCATTTAATACTAACAACCATGCTTTTTCCTTAATAACTTTTTTCTCTTTTTTTTGCAGGGGGTGGGGGGGTAGACAGGGGGATCAGGAATTGAACTCAGGAGCATTCAACCACTGAGCCACATCTGCAGCCCTATTTTGTTATTTTATTTAGATACAGGGTCTTGTTGAGTTGCTTAACACCTCTCAGTTGCTGAGGCTGGCTTTGAACTGTGATCCTCATACCTCAGCCTCCCGAACTGCTGGGATTACAGGCGTGTGCCACCATACCGGCTAATTATTTCTCTCTTTTGTGTAGTCTGGCAACTTTCCTTCTCATTTTAAATATTGACCTTGAAGCCCAGGAACAAAAAAGCTACATTAAGATCTTATATACTCAAATTCACCAAAACAGTATCTAAAGACCAAAACATTTTCCAGAGCTTCATAGCCACACATATTCATTCAACTAAATTTTGGTCTTTTATAGGGATTTTTCCACAGGCACTTTAAGATTTAACATGTCCAAGATATGGATCCATCATGAACTGTTAAATCTGCTTTTCATATTTCAACTTCCATTTTCATTAACAGAGTACTACCTAACATGGTAATCTGAGAGGCATTTTAAAGTTCTCTTCCAACCCCACAACTGTCTGTCTTATTTACTTAAAGATGCCTATTGTTCCCTTTCTTTTGTATTTCTTCCATACTACCCCTTTTTGTCCTCTTTACACTTAATGCTACACAAATTGCCCTCCCACAGTAAAGAACTAAAATTTTAAAAACACAGTTTTTCTAGCACTTAACAGGCAGTTTAATATTATGATTCATAAAGAAAAATGAGTCAAGCTAACAACGCTGGAGAGTATTTAGGTGGTTGTGAAGGCATGTGGAATAGTTTATCAAAACTGAGGAGAAAGAGACACAAGTTCAGAAAAGCCGAGAAGGCTACATTTGTAGGGCAGAGTACCAAACAGGCAAACATGTACACAGATAAAGAGTCTTAGATACGTGCAGAGTTCCTGGTGTCTTTGGATACTGCACAGGTACAAGTGGAAAGTTTCTGAGGCCAGGGCTGAAATTATTCTCAAAATATCTTTTAATATATAGGGCAGTGGGTCAAATCCTCTTCTTGCTTTTCCGTAGACCTACATAAGTACTAGAATAGAAGCTGCTTTGAATCCTTCACATTTTAGCAAATGAATCCAGCAATATAGAAGAAGAATAAAAACACTATGACAAAGTGGTGTTTATCTCAGGAATGCACCAGTAATTTAACATTAGAAAATCAACTAATCTAATTCACCATATAAACAGAGTAAAAAAATTCCAAAGATCATCTCAAAAGACACCGGAAAATTGTGTGACCCATTTGGGAGAAAAACTTTCAGCGAACTAGGAACATTAGAATACTTTCTTGACCTAATAAAAAGCATAGGAGAAAAGTAATAGGGTTGGGGTATATTTCAGTGGTAGAGCACTTGCCCAGCAGGTCCAAGGTCCTGAATTCCATCCCCAGGACCACAGAAGAGGAAAAAAAAAGGTCAAGAGTGAATGCTGTACTTAATCATGAAAGACCAGAAATATATTGTATGTTAATATATCAATGAAACTTTTTTTTTTTTGGTACCGGGGACTGAACCCAGGGATGCTTTCCAACAGAGCTACATTACCAGCTCTTTATTATCTTTTATTTTAAGACAAGATTTCACTAAGTTTCTGAGGCTGGCTTCGAATCTGCAATTGTCCTGCTTTAGCCTCCCGAGTTGCTGGGATTATAGGCATGCACCTAGCAATAAAACTGACTTTTAAAATCTACCATTAATATTTTCAAAGTTGTTAAAAAAATTTAGTCTTTTAAACAAGAGAGCTGATTATAACAAGTAACTTGTCATTTGTTACTATACCTAAGAATCTATAAACAGCAAAATGCAATTTTAAAATACTGGGTGTCTGCAATATATTTCCATTACTGCATGTTGAACCTTAAATATAAGAAGACCGTGCAATAGTCCATACCAAGAGCTGTATGGTGAACTCGTAAGCAACTGGAATTTAAAACCACTAATTAAAAAAAAAAAAATCAATCACTATACTAAAATAACAGCAATAGAAGAATTAGCTTTAATTTTTAATTCTATTCTTATGGTACCTAAGTATAGATTACTAGTTAGTAACTTGAACTAATTCAAGTGTATTAAGAATTAGACTACAGGGTTGGGAATATAGCTCAGTGGTATAGCACTTGCCTAGCGTGCTGAGGCCCTGGGTTCAATTCCCAGTGCCGACCAAAAAAAAGAAAGAAAGAAAGAAAGAAAAAATTGGGTAGGAACCGCATTTTATCCTGCACTTGAAATTTAGTCATTTTCAAATCACTCAGCTACTTTGAAAGTATTCAAGAAATGAGATTTTTAAAAATTATAATAATAAATGCTAACCCATCATTTTATTATGTTTCAACCATTAAAGGAAAGTATTTTATAATTGTCAGTCACATCTGTAAGTAAGGAATTATATTACAAGAAAAAATGAGAACTGTTTAAAGCAGGAAGGTAATATTGTAAGAATCTGTATTTCTTCTATGTTAAAGATGAACAGAAACACAGACAAGAAATTTGCTTGAAACACACTTCTCAATTTGTTTAGAGAAAAAGTAAATAGTTAAAAGCATATCCCATGTAGGTTCTATAAACTAACCCTTTTTTTTTTTTTGGAGGGGGGTGGCGGTACCAGGGATTGAACTCAAGGACATTCAACCACTGAGCCACATCCCCAGCTCTATTTTGTATTTTTATTTAGAGACAGGGTCTTGCTGAGTTGCTGAGTACCTCACTTTTGCTGAAGCTGGCTTTGAACTCAATCCTCCTGCCTTAGCCTCCCAAACTGCTGGGATTACAGGCATGTGCCACCTCTCCCAGCTATACTAACCCTTCTTAATTGAAGGAAGACTATAATACTAGCAGGTGACAGTTTAACCACCCACATGTCACACCCTTATTAAAACTTAGAAGCACCATTCCTCAATAGAGACAATACAATATGTATAGAACTTAGGTGACAATCAGACTAAAAGGATAAGATGCACATATGAACAAAAGTAAGCATGCTTATTTATATACAACATTGTTATGCTTTTTTAAAAAAATGCTCATATATCAAAAGAGATCATTAAGTGCAGCTGAACTACCTTAGCTCATGTTTTCAAACCATTAAAACCTCTAGTCCATTCAATCAGTAAGGTTCCATGGTTAACTTGTGTTCATTTTAAATATACTCTAACACAACAACCTTCTGCTACCCTACCTCTTGACTTGTGCAGCTCAACTTCTTTTTTAGTTTACATTAGGCAAAATAAATAAGAACAAGCTTATTTTTTAAAAAGTAAGAGTAATTATACATTTCTTGAAAATACCACTCAAACCATACAAATCACATCAAACTAGAACTGCTGAATAAACTGGAACATCATAATAAGTTGCCTTTCATACATCTATAACTATGCCTGTTTTAAAAGAAAATAATCCACATGTAAGATAGGTAACAAATAGTATTAGATTTTAAAATATTGGAAACTTCCAAATTACTGATTCAAGTAATAATGATCTGTTGATAATAACCAAGTTATTCTAAATTTCAAAGTAATATAAAGTTTAACGCTTTAGCATCAATTTAGCCATTTATTAGGTTCAAGAGAAGTCCAACAAAAGCATTACTGGTCAACAAAATTCCTTCCAAATATCAAGTGGTTATATTAAGAGTTAATACTCAAGACAAATAAGACTCAACCCTAATGATGAGAACTATAATCCTCTTCCAAAATTTAGCTTAAACAAGTCACAAACATTTAATAAACTGTTGGGGTAGCACAAGTGAAAATTTAAATCAAATCTTGTTTTGATATTTCTATCCTACCTGTATCTTCAATAAATTCCACACATTTTTCAACAAACAGTGGTATGGGCTTCTCAGCTGTAACCAGATCCTGGAGGGGCATCCCAAAGTAATTACTTTCCCAATTTCTACGCGTTGGTGGATTGAAGTTCTTAGTTTTCTTTTTCTGCTATAAGAAAACATATTTGAGTTAAAACTATTAAAAATTAATCTCCCTCAAAATATTAGTACCAAGCAATATAAACACACAGTTTGGATAAAAGAAAATATTTACAAGCCATATCCAATTGAAATGTCCATGAAAATTGGACACATTACATTCTACTAAGAGCAGCACCTGATCAATGGAGGCAAAAAAGTGAATAGGGAAAAAAATTAGCTGACTAGAAGAAAATGTTCTCTTTGGAAAATAACATAAGACTAGATAGGGAGAGATGAGAAAGATTAGATAGTAAAAGACAGGGAAGATCATTTTTTCAATGACAATATAGGGTACAAACTAGAAATACACAGAGTAGGGTTTTATATAAATCTGTATTTCTAAGAATAATTTACTGATTACTGATTATATACTGAGGCTATATATTTGCATCAAGATTTTAGTCTATTTTCCCCACATTTGCCAATCCACTGTGACTTAAATATTAAGACAATTTTCAGAAGAAATTTGTAAAATATTTTCAATACAGTAAAAACCAAAACAAAAATTTTTTTTTTTCAGAATTTAACTTTTATCTAACCATTAGAAAAACATGGATTATTAACCAGGAATGTTCATCTCAAAACCCAAGGATGAATTGTCTGGAATCAATGTTGGGGAGATTCTGATTCAGTCTTTTTTGAGTAGGGTATAGCAAGCATCTTCAAAGATGATTCTGTTATGCATATCCAATTGAGAATCTCTAAAGTACAGGAAGAAAAAGTTTTCAGAAATTCAAAGAGCTTATTAAGAGCACTTTTACTAACAGCCCTGATTTCTTTTTCAGTATAACTATCTAAAAATTTTTATTTTCTCTAGTATAAATCACAAATCTATTCATATTGCTCATATCACTACTGGCTTACAAACAGAACAACAACAACAAAATTTCCTTCTATTTTAACCTAAAGAATGGCCTACCTTAGGACTTTTGCATGGCTGTTTCTTTTATCTTTTGAATGAGGCCTACACTGATCACCCGATTAAAAATCACAAACTGCAATCCTACTGCTTGTCTTCCCCAGTACTTCCAATCCTTCTTATCCTAATTCTTCTCTCCTCAACATTATAAAATTTATTCATGCATCATCTTTGTTTCAGGGGTATGAGGAAGGAAACAAAGATGATGCATGAAATTTCTGCTACAATAGAGACTCTACATATGGGCAGAGATTTTGATTTGCTCATCAACATATCCCAAAGATCAAGAATACAGTCTATAAAAGGAAATAATACAAATGGTCCTAAAAATCCAATGAGGTCTCAAATTGAAGAAGACCTTAGAAGATAGAAAGATCTCCCATGTTCTTGGATATGCAAAATTAAATATTGCCAAAATGGACATACTACCAAAAGTGCTAAACAGATTTAATGCAATTCCTATTAAAATCCCAATGACATTCTTCATAGAAATAGAAAAAGCAGTCATGAAACTCATTGGAAAAATAAGAGACATAGAATAGCCAAAGCAATCCTTAGCAAGAAAAGTGAAGCAGGAGGCATCACAATACCAAACCTTAAAATTATATTACAGAACTCTAGTAACAAAAACAGCATACTATTGGCACCAAAACAGACATGAAGACCAGATACAGAATAGAAGACATGGAGATAAACCCACATAAATACAATTATCTCATACTAGACAAAGGTACCATAAAGATACATTGGAGAAAATATAGCCTCTTCAAAAATGGTGCTGAGAAAACTAGAAATCCATATGTAGCAGAATGAAATTGAACCCATCTCTCATCCTGTACAAAACTCAAACTCAAAGTGAATCAAGGACCTACACATTAGACCAGAGACCCTGCACCTACTAGAAGAAAAAGCAGGCCCAAATTCTCCATTATGTCAGCTTAAGAACTTAATTCCTCAACAAGATTCCTAAAGCTCAAGAAATAAAAATCAAGAGTCAATAAATAGGATTGTATCAAACTAAAAAACTTCTTCACAGCAAAAGAAACAACCAAGAACACGAAGAGAAAATCTCTGCCACCTGTACCTAAGAGCATTAATCTCTAGGCTGTATAAAGAACTCAAAAAATCTAACACCAAAAAAAAAAAGGTACACTCATACATTGCTGGTGGGATTGCAAACTGGTGCAACTAATCTGGAAAGGAGTGTGGAGATTCCTCAGAAAACTTGGGATGGAACCATAAGGTATTCAAACCAGCATACTACAGTGATGCAGTCATATCAATGTTTATTACAGCTCAATTCACAACAGTTAAGCTGTGCAACTAACCTAGGTTATCCTTCAACAGAAGAATGGATAAAGAAAATGTGGTATCTATTCACAATGAAATATTACTCAGCCATAAAGAATGAAATTATGGCATTTGCTGGTAAATGGAGAGAACTGGGAGGTATCATGCTAGGTGAAAAAAACCAATCCCCCCAACACAAAGGCCAAATGTTCTCTCTGATATGCAAATGTTAACACACAATGGGGGTGGGGTGTGGAATAGAAGTTCACTGGCTCAGACAAAGGGGAATGAAAGGAAGAAAGGAGGGATGGGAATAAGAAAAAAAGTAGAATGAATTGGACATAACTTTCTGATGTTTAAATATGATTACATGACCAGTGTACATGTACAACCACAAGAAGGGGAAGTTATACTCAATGTATGTATAATATGTCAATACATTCTACTGTCATGTATATCTAAAAAGAACAAAAATGAATAAATCCCCCCCCCCATATTTGAGGTCTCTTCTAAAATAATGAGCTTGGTTTATAGTTTGAGTAATCTTACCATATACAAGGAAAGATAAACAGAAGTGAATTATCAAATTAAGAGATATACTGTGCTACATTCAGTAAGCCTCAAAGAATATTAAAGGTTCCAGACAAGATGAAAAAAACAACAGTGGGGAAAAGTAACAGGAAAGATAGCCTCAGAGTTCTCAGGAAAAGTACAAGTCACAGGATTGACCTATAGGAATGCTCATGGGAAAAAAAAATGTGTCAAGAATTCTTTACCTAGCCAATATATATGTCATTCAGGTGTTCAAAACCACCAGCTGTAATTTTTTTTTTAATTTTCAAATATGCAATAATCAAATTTAAATTATAGCATGCATAAACTCCTTCTTGAGAGATCATAAAGAACACACAATAAAGAAATCAATAAAAAAGAACTTATATTGGAGAATGTTGCTATGAAAACCATATGAACACTATATAATGAAACAAAACTAATTCTAAGTAATAATATAATCAATAATTTTCCAGGAAGCATTACAAAATATAAAAATTATTTGTAAGAGGTCAAAACCAAATTCTCAACCTACCCCAAAAGAGGAATGGGTGGGATATAAGAGATAAAGTAATTATAGTAGTGCATGACAGGTTATCAGAATACACTGGTAGGTTGAGCAAGAATAATAAACTGAAATAGGTTTGTAATATTTAAAGAAGAAAAAGCAAACCATAAATTAATAGCATCTTTATTTTTCTTATCTTTTCTCTGATGGCAAAGAATAAAAATTGAAAATAAGGAAAAGGCTAACTGATATTTATAAAAACAAGTGTAAATAGAATAAGATCAGCTATACAAATAAAATTCTAAGACTTGGTATAAAACTAAACCAACTAACCATATGCCATTTAAACCAAGGGACTTAAATAAGTTAAAAATGACAGGCAATTGAACAAAGTACGTACAGAAGGACTGTACATAATGTACTCAATATGATATGGTCTACAAATTATCAACCCACAGCCAATCATACCTAATGAGAAAAAGCTGAAAATCTTTCCTCTAAGATCAGGTACAAGAAAAGGTGTTCATTCTCATCATTCTTATTCAACAAAGTACCCAAAGTCTTAGCCAGAACCATTAGAAAAAGAGAAAGAAATAAGACATACAGATAGGAAGAAAATCAAATTATTCCTGTTTGTAGATGATACAATCCTCTCTATATAGAAAAACCTGAAGACTCCACCAAAATACTATTAGAACTAATAAATTCAGTAAGGTAGCAGGATACACAACCAATGTACACAAATCAGCTGCTTTTCTATACACCATAACAAATTTGCTAAGAAAGAAATCATGAACGTCATCCCATGCACAATAGCTACAAAACAATAACAACAAAACCACCTAGGGATAAACAACCAAATTAGTAAAAGACCTCTACAATGAAAATTATCAAACACTGATGAAAAAGAAACTGAAGAAGGCACAAAAAGATGGTAAGACATCCCGTATTCATGGATCAGGATAAATATTACTCAAACGTCCATACTATCCAAAGGGATTTACAGAGTCAATGCAATCCCCATCAAAATACCAGTGACATTCTTCAGAAACAAAAGAAACAATACTAAAATTCACACAAAACCACTTCACCTGAATAGCTGAAGCAACTTGGGCAAAAGAAAGAAGCTAGAGGGACCACAAAACCTGATTTCAAAATAGCGTGGTACTGGCATAAAAACAGACAAATTAAACTGAAGTGATATCAGAAATAAACCCAAATGACTGACTACAGACAACTGATTCTTGACAAAGGTGCCAAAAACATTCATTGGAGAAACATACATTGGATAGCCTCTTAAATATGGTGGGAAAACTAATACAATTAATAAAACTAGGTTATTCATAAATATCACATGATTCCACATGCACAAGAAACTGAAACTCGACCCCTATATCTTACCCTGTACAAAAATCAACTCAAGACAGATCAAAGACCTAAATATAAGCCTGGACATTCTGGAAAGTTAATGAAGAAGCACTTTAAGATATTGATGTGGCAACGATTTTCTGCACAGGACCCTAAAAGTACAAGGAAAAAAAAAAGTAAAAATTGGCAACAGGAATTACATCAAACTAAAAGGTTTCTGCATAGCATAGCAAAGGGAGAAAAATCAACAGAGTGAAGGAACAATTTACAGAATGGAAGAAAATATTTGCCAACTATGTATCTCACAGAGGGTTAAAATTCAGAATACGTG